CCTGGAGACTGGGCGCTAACCCTTTTTATCATATATCATTCAGTGGTCAATCACAATGTAAAATAGTAGGAAGGCAACTCAGGATGATACCGTTGATTGACCTAGATTTCGCACTGAGGTTAAACTGACTGGAACACATAACATATATATCAATATGTATTACAATCATTCGCTACAGGACCATGCAAAAAAGTCCGGAGTGTGGCAACTGAAACTAGGTCCTGCCGCGAAAGGCCGGAACTCAGAGAAGGAAGAGACTGCGGCTGCCAAAGAACAGCGAAGTCCAAGGAACATGCCGGGGGACGAGCTTCTTCAGGGGCAGGAGGCTCCATGGTGTATAGCTACTATCACTGGTGAGAAAGTGGAATATGTAGGGTCATAGTAGTCACAAAATGCATGCAGACGTGAGAGCGCAGAGAAAAAAAAAGAAAGTTTGTTGAATCAAAGGGTTTGAGTTTGGGTTGTCCGTAGACCAAAGTACAGCTAGTTACGTTACATTGCTTTACGAACAGGACCTCTCCTAGACCAGTTGAGCCCTAAAATCTAGTATCGCGCAATGACGATTAATAGGTCCAAAACTGGCCTTGGGGGAAAACACATGTGCACTTTCACGAACACTGAATTTTCCTTTACTCTCAGTAATGAATTGTGGAGGTATGCGGGCTAGAACGAGGCTTCATCTCACTGTCAGAATGTAGTATTACTGACTCTAAGCGACCTGAATAAGGCCAAAAAAGCAGATCAGTACGATTTTACTTCCGAATAACCATTAGGAATTCTCTGTGAGCAAAGGTAACGCCATGGTAAAAAAAATAGCCCGCTTGAATTCTGCGTCTCTTCGTTTTCTCATGGCAATCTTTTTCAGATGCAAAATGGACGAAGAAACTGGAATTCGAATCGGGAACAGACAAAGTTGGCCCAAAACTTGATCCTATCCCTGATCGGCCAAACTGCTACACTATAGGTGGACGGGTTGATGTTTTGGAGGTGAGTCATTCTTGTAATAGACAAGGACACAAGATTTTAACTTTAGACAAATGCGGGACGCAGTACCCCCAAAAACTGAGCGTGGAATTAAGTGTGGCGGCCCACTGAACGGTAGGAGGTAGCGTAGCTCTGGTGTGAGGCCAGGAAGCGAGAGCGACGGCAATTCCGCTCACAACCTGCCACCAGGTGTCGCTTAGGCGTTGACTGAAGTGTACTGTGAGCACGCACTCAGCGTTGCTATGCACTCAATTCTACGCGCACTTCAGGGTACTGTAAAACTTTCTGTTTTCCTAAGCTTACGACACAACACAACCTCCCCTCCCGACGTTCCTACCGCTGCGAGGTCGTCACCAATCAACTACCACAATCAACCGGAAAAATTTCATCGCCCCTCAAAAAATTTCTCGCAGGGCCCAACAAACCCAATCGACGAAACAGTATCCCGCTTCCCAGCGACTGAGATGGGATTCTTCCAACGATACCCTGGACCCCATCTCCCTTTGCTATTGTGAAGTCCAGCTTTATGAAACCCATTTGAAGGAGTACGAACCGTGAAGTTAAATAAGACTACCACGAAATGGGTGCTCTTTCGTTTATAAATTCGTCTTCTAAACGATCCCTAAACCGTCATCTGCTAAGATGTACCTTTAGAGTTGCTTCGCTCAGCGTGTCCGCGCACTCCTTATCCTCTGAGACGGAGTAGGCGGGGCATTCGAACATGCCATACAATGACACAGTGGACAAGGACGTGACAACTATTATGTCAGAATGAAAATGTTTCCCCGAGAGCGCAGCCACCGCCACGTTCAGTTGAAGTACGCAGCCAAGCCTGCCTCCTCAGGGGTGTCGAGTATACCTTCATATACAGAGGGCTACATGGAGCGTAAATAGGACATGAGGGACAAGTACTCTTCTCATCACTGCAGTCTTCGTGAAGTTCAACCGTTCAGAAGCAGCCAACCTGCTAAATTTGCACTGCTTGACTGTAATTGCTGTGAGCATAATGTCGTTAGCAAAGTGCAGGCAGTGAGATTGTCAGCCGGCGTCGTTCTTTAGCCTCTTCCGTTCCAGTCAATGCTGAACGTTTTTGAGGCGTCGGTAGAAAGTTTGAGCGAGACGGTATCGCATTGTCAGACTCTTTTCATGACGTTAACGACCTCTCCGAAATCTGCGAGTTGGTAACCAAAAACTTACTGTTCACAACGAATCCTTGTATTCTGCCTTACGTCAATGGTTTGACTTCTGACTAGGGACGAAGTTTCAGGGCGCATCGCGCTCAATCTGGAGGCATTTTTTTTGCGATACATCGATATACGAAGGATACAGGGGTAGATGTTCCCGGCCAAAAAAACTAGTTCGAGTGGGGATTCTGAACTGAGGACTGCTGACCGTGAACACTCAACAGGTTTCTGATGTGATGAAATTGCATAATAACTCAAGTCCTACGCCTCCAGGAGACACGATGGATGTCGAAAACAATCTCTAAATTCCCCTTCATGGATCGTGGTCCTTGTCATGAGTGATGTGAATGGGCGTGCAGCACGTTCTGCGATCAAAGTGCATGGGGAAGGGGCTGAAGGAGACTGATACCCGAGCACCGTCTCCATGCTAAGGCGGCAGCTGCACGCGAACAAAAGTCATGCGCGCTGTTTGTCTGCGTCCTCTCTCTCTTGATTGCGCTTTGTAGCTGAGCGAGTGTTTCAGTGTGAGATCTCTGAGCGGGGGGGGAAAAACGAAACGTGCTGCACACTGATGAATACGCGGCGCGGATTATGAAATGAGGCACTCATGCATCCTTCAAACCGCTCCCGTGCTTTTTTAAAGAGAGAAAGTAGCACGCTACCGCAGCTGCAGACTCATTCTCTCCACAAGCGGCAAGAACCGCGATCCACGGAGGCGAGTGCGCAGTTTGTCTCTAAGGATGTAAAGAAAAATCCTGCCGGGAGCACTGTAGCATAGGCTCCTTCTAGAGCTCAACGGCATTGATTTAACTTACGGACGTAAGGTAAAAAATGAGAGGCGAACATGGTGGAGGAGGTGTCGATGATGTAACCGGTATTAAGGGAAATTTTCCCCAATAAGTAGAACATTGACTTACTTGAGATCGTGTTTAGAGCGGAAAACTGAGGTCGCTGCTGCCCATTATATCATTTGGTCATTCATACCTCTCTGTTCAGGACTTCCGTGGTGAATTCTCAATTTATCTTGAGCTGCGTAACACTGCCAGCAAAAAGCAAGTACCGGAAACCTGTGTGAAACAAGGTGCTGACGGATGTGGCGGTTTCGGATCATGGTTAGTCAATTCATTTTCTTTATGTCGTTGGTCGTTCTGTAAAAATGGCATAGATAATGTATTAAAGACGAACTCTCCGGTCACCGCCTAGAACGGTCCTTTCAATGTGGAAGGCGAATGGGTCCGCAGCTATAGAGCATGCCACTTCCTGGCTCCAAAATGGAATGGGGCTCGAAGGGTAGCGACGGCTGGGTGCCGTCTCCATAGTCCTCCTGTTGCGTCGGTACAAGACCACGACGCCTCCAGCGGTAGAGAACAACTAGATGTGAGAGAGTGCGGACAAGTAGAGCATTTGGCCATGGTTAGGCCCATAACCAGCATGTGCGGCGCGGGTGGAGCATGAGAACGGCACCTGATTATCGGTACCCTCCATCGTCAATATGCACTTCTGAGCGGGGAAAGTGGAACGCTACTGCAGCTACACAGACCTAACCGCCCAACTCTTGTGAAGGGACAAGATTCCCGAAGGTGAACGTACAGTTCCCTTTCAGTAGCAAAGGTCACGACAAGTTCTTACAATTAAGCATGCAAGATGAACCCGCCAACCAAAGTGACGCCCTGAGAAAGCCTCACATGATGTCCTTCCCACCAGAAAGTGGTTAAGCATCCTAGCAAAGCTTATACACGTCACGCCCACAAACGACACCACCGACCAGCAATTGATGGGGTATGATGCAAGAGAATCGCACTTCGCCCGCTGATGGGCCGCGTGCGACGTCGCACCCATTTAACGATAATTAGAGGGCGTAGATGGCGAAAATAGGCATTTTAGAGCCGAAGGTAGCCGTGAACTTTTTTAGTTTTCAAGTCCACAAGAAATCCGGTGCTCCTGTCGACAGGCCAGCACTATTCAAGAAAACGCCGCGCCCAACGCCACGCGCGGCGGAGCGCGAAACTACGATTCTCTTGCCCGTCTCATCAATTGATCACTATCGAATCAGGTGCTTTCACCTACAGTCTGCAGCTGATTTGCGCTTTTTCCTTTCTTTAAGGTTCCTTCTGGAGAGGTAAATACCTACTGGTAGAGATTTCACTTTCTTCGGCAAGGTGCGAGGTTTTCTTGCAAGCAGAACACATTTTGTAGTTTCAGACTTCTTTGACTTTTTTGATCTTTGACCAGTGATGACTTATCTCGGGCCTATACTCGTACACTTCCTCATTGGAGCTCTTGATAAGGGTCCCATTGGGAGTCTAGGCCGTTTTCTCGCGTTTTTTTTTCTTTCTATCGTAACACAGAGTGCCCCTTCCCGTTTTCTACAGATCACCGAATTATCGTGCCCAGTGCCTTTAATAGCGAGGAGGTACATGAACCACGGAAAGGCTGTGCAGGAGCAGTGATTCACGTTGAGACTGTGATAAGAGAAAGAGCAGAATTGCTCGAAGAAGAGTAGACGGGACAACTACTCGAGTCAGTGACGAATCCAGGTGACATGTGCTGAGGGATCTGAGGGAGAAGGAGAGCTGGGCAGAAAAAGTGCGGGCAACAATATCTAGATGGGGCGCAAGGGATCTAACCAGATGTCACGCATTTAGCAAATGGGAAGATTTTCACTGATAGCAGTGGGTCGAGAAAGATTGAATAAGGCGTAGCAAATGCACTGGCGAACTGATAAGAGATGGAAGCTTCAAAAGTGTGGTTCCTCCAAGAGAACAGTGTACAAGTTCACCATTCGAGGGAACAGAACTTGTCGAAAAGTAGCTCGTGTATGGTACGCAAAACGCATTCTTCCCTTACTGGATAGGCGAAGGCTCATAACCGTGATCCTTTCTTCATCAGCAGCTATCCTACTGATCCTACTGATCGCATCTGATGGGGGGATGCACCAATCAGCAGCGTACAATGATGCGTCTCCCCCCATTTCTTAACTCCTCCGATAATG